TCTACTGACTGAACCAGCCAGGCGCCCCTCACTAGGCACTTTATTTATTTTAATTTTTTTTTTTTTAACATTTATTTATTTTTGAGAGACAGAGAGAGACAGAGCATGAGCAGGGAAGGGGCAGAGAGAGAGGGAGACACAGAATCTGAAGCAGGCTCCAAGCTGTCAGCACAGAGCCTGATATGTGGGGCTCGAACTCACAAACCGCAAGTTCATGACCTGAGCCGGTCGGACACTTAACCGACTGCGCCACCCAGGCGCCCCTCTACTTGGCACTTTAAATACACATCTGGGGCGCATGAGTTGGCTCAGTCGGTTAAGCATCCAACTCTTCATTTTGGCTCAGGTCATGATCTCCCAGTTTGTGAGTTCAAGCCCTGCACTGTCAGTGCAGAGCCTGTGTGGGATTCTCTTTCTCTCTCTCTGCCCCTCCCCTACTCGCACTCTCTCTCTCAAAATAAATGAACTCAACATGTTAAACAAATACAAACATAGGTAGGTAGGTAAGTAAATAAATAAATATATGTCCAAATGTGAGCTGTCATCTTTACCCCTTGTGCTCAGATGCCAAAGTAGAAACAGGGGCATCACCCTTGAATGCTCTCTCCGTGCTCCCTCCCCTCAAAAACCACCAAGCTCTCGGGGTGCCTGGGTGGCTCAGTGGGTTGGGCGTCCGACTTTGGCTCAGGTCATGATCTCGCGGTCCGTGAGTTTGAGCCCTGTGTCAGGCTCTGTGCTGACAGCTCCGAGCCTGGAGCCTGTTTCAGATTCTGTGTCTCCCTCTCTCTCTGACCTTCCCCCATTCATGCTCTGTCTCTGTCTCAAAAATGAATAAACGTTAAAAAAAAATTAAAAAAAAACAACAACCCACCAAGCTCTCTTGATTGGACTTCCTAAATCTCTTCCATTTGTCCATTTTTTCCCAAACTCCATGCCACTGCTCTATCTTTTCCTGCTTAGAGTCCTACTGACAAGTCTCCTTACCAAAGGCACTGTCCTCTCCCTGCCCCGCCCCCATCATCTCCCACATTGCAGGTGAAACTATCATTTACAAATGCAAAAGTAATTATGTCACTTCCCTGCCTAAAATGCTTCAGTGGTTTCCAGTGCCTTTTGGATGAAGTCCAAATCCCTTAATGAGGCCTACAAGGTCCTTGGGGGAACTGGTCACTCTCCAGTTTCATATCCTGTCACTCTCCCCTTCACACTCCATCTCCAGTCACAATAAGCTCCTTTCAGTTCTTCGGATGCCCCACTCCCATGTTCCTCCGTGTCTTTGCACATGATGTTCCTCTGCCAGGAACAAGCCCCCTCCCTCTGCAAACTTCCACTTCGTGCCTCAGCTTAAGTATCAACCTCCCCTGGGGAAAACTCTGCATGCGGCCTTCCCAAATTGGGCAAAGTGTCTTTAGGTGGCCCCAGAGCACCCGAGGGTTACAGCTATCATACCGCATAACAACAGTCTGTCACGTATCCGTCTCTTCCACGAGGCTGTAAGCAACCAGAAGGCAGAACGCATGTTGTTTGCTGTTGCCCTTCTGGCGCTTAGCATAGTGCCTACCACGTGGAGATACTCAACAGATACTAGTTAAATGGATGAAATGTCGAATAAATACATCAATGACCCTAGGGGTTAAGAAATCAGCACCAGGCAGATGACAAAGTTTTCACGGGGCTGGAGGGCTCAGATCTTTCCCTTTCCTTGGGAGAGTGAATGTCACCAAGCTCTAGAATTCCAACCCCCTGAGATGTCTATCCCATCACAAGGAATGAAAGCAACCTGGATGGGGAGATGACGCACAGCCCTATTTCATGGAGGCGGGCACCCCGGCTGGGCGGTCACCAGCTAAGGCGCAGGCGTGCAGTGCTTTCCGGGCACTCCTCACCCTCCAACCCGCATTACCAGATGTGGAAGGTTGCATTAAAGACGTTGGTTTTCTTCAGCTTGTCCAGCTGCATCTGGGCGTAACGCATCTGGTTTTCCACACTCTTCAGCTCATCGTCCAGCTCCAGCTGCTGTCGCTTAAATTCACTGTATTCCCTCTGATACCTGTGAGCAGCAAGGTGGCCATTGAAGGCTGTAGGTTCAGGGCTAGAATTTCTCTCTCACCACCCCCCAGAACGATGTATTCTAGTGGTTATGGTTAGACCTAGTTACAGCATCCTTTCCATTTGGCACAGATCCCATTCAAAGGAACATACAGATCCTAGCTGTTTTGCCTGCGAGGGACAGAAATGTCTCAAATTCCAGCTGCCCACGTGCAAAAGATAGAGGCAAACAGGACTCTTCCTAAACCAGGACCAAATGCCTCTTGTATTTCTAATTTTTTTCCAGAAGTGGGGTCAGGGCGTTAAGAGTGGCTTCTTCCAGGAACTGACCACAGGTGAACTTCCAAAACTTCACTTCTGTGCACTCACTGTCCTTCTGTATAGTTGGCATACACCATTTCCGATGTAACTTGTTCACTCCTTTGAAAACATTAACTTTTTTCTCTGTCCATCACTCCCCCCAACTTTAGTTAATGTGGATACTGTGTCTCCTCCACTACACAGGGGGTTCTCTCAGGTCAAGATCACCAGTGACATTTCCGGGCTGGGAAAGAACGAATGTAGGCCAACACGTCCATCTTTCCAGAGGAGGATGCCAGCTTCGGTGGCTGACTTACCCAAACGAGCTCAGCTCCCCCCAGGGCAGCAATGCAACTTAGAACCCTTCTTTCTCTGCTCTCTATTCAACCAACATGCTTTTTTCACTTAATCATGCTGACCCTTCACACATAACCCTCCCAACAGACCTTGAGAAGCAGGGCCCGCAAACAGTATGTGGGATCTGGAGCAGACATGCTACCAAATGACAGGCGACAGCAGCTGACAAACTGCTCAGACACATTCAGTCAGAAGCCGCTGCTTCTCCTGGAGCCTTGTGGGAAGGGAGACAGAGGAACAGGGTGACCACTCACTGAGCTTCCTCCTGATCCAGTCTCTCAGCCTCAGCCTGGACCTTCTCGAGATTTTCTGCCACTATCTTGCGGTTCTTTTCCACGTCTTCCAGCTCCTGGATCAGCCTCTCCTCCTCTAACGCCAGCTCCTTCAGCTCCATCTGTAGCTGTCCACTGTCATCCTCGTTCATTTGCTCTAAGATCTCTAAACAGCGTCTGCCAAAGACACGGGCAGAATACACTCACCGCGGGGAACCTGTCCTTCTGTTTACCTGAGCGGAGCACGGCGCCTGGGTAAGAGCCAAGCAGTCTCCGAGCAGTGACAGCTTCACGGTCCAGATCTCCGTTTCCGGGCACTGGTCCTAGAGGCACTCACTTGTAGTTCTGACACTCATTTTCAGTGACGTTGAGCTGAGTGTCCAGCTGGTCTAAAAGGGTATCTGTGCATTCCTCACACAGTGGGTGATCCACATCTGTCTGGCCTGACATGATGTCAAAAAGGTCCCCAGTGACCTGGAAGCGTGGGGTGTGAGAGAGTCAGGGGAGGGCCTGCCCCAGGCTACCTGCCCGGCCACCCCCTCTCCCGGCCAGGCCTGCCGCCTGATGCTGCTACAGTGCTGACTTGCCTTCAGTCTTCGGCTGAGGTTCTCCATGGTGCCGCCATCAGATGCCTCCCCGATCAGAGTGAAGCTGTTGGCACTTTCTGTGGACATCATCCTGCAGACAGCCCCCCGCCCACGGGCCACATGAGGGAGCAGAGAGGCCTCCTCCACTCCACCTACTGCAGTGGCAGTGGCAGAGACCCTCAAGCACTGGCTGAGGGGCCTCAAGGCGCATACCCACTCCTAGCCCGACTGACCTCCCAAGGGTACCTCTCTCCCAAGGGAAGGCCATGCTGGTCTTCCACAGGGGCACTCAGCACGAAGGTTGGCCTGGATGGACTAAGGAGGGAGAGGGGGCATCAAAAACTGACATGTGTGTGTGTCTATAGTAGAAAAGGAAGGAGAATCAGGAAAGACCATTTTTAAATATCATACCCCTCACCAGCAGCCTTCACATGCATCAACGAGTAAGAACTTGAACATCTAACAACATCTGCTATTTTAAAACTTTTCAAGAGCCCCTCTCTCTTATTAGTCATTCACTCCCTCAACTTTTCTCGATTCTTCGTCATGAGAGCTACCGTCCCTTCCCACTGTGTGAACGGCTACAGGAAAAAATCAATACTGGAAGGTGACGGGCCAGGTATAAGAGAATACGTCTTTTCTGGAAGAGCCAAAAGGCTAGATGAGGATTTATTTCCATCACCTGGCTCCAGGTCTCAATTCTGGGTTCCATTAAAATTCTACTGGCCTTTGGCAAGGAACAGGGGGCTGAGGAGTAGTAGGCACCTGGCTGGGGGGATGAATCTGCGAGAGACACCATCCTGGCGAGTTTCAATAAATGGCTCCTGGGAAGGAAATAAGAGGGCATTAGAATTCTGGCAGCTTACAGGGGGAGTCTATTTCCCAAAGAGCCTCAGAACCATTTGGCTTTACCTTTGATTGATAACCACAGGACCTGATAAACCACAGAGACGTAAGAAATGGGTATGATCTAGCCAATCCTTGGTATATGTGCACTAAGAAAGGACCCCTCATACAGGCAAACGCCAAGTCCCATGTGATTTTTTGTGGCAAACCATGTGATATCTATGTGACAGTAGTTATTGTGTGGTTAAATCTGCATTTTCTCAACACTGACCAGTCAGGGGTAGGGGAGAGAAGGCCCTAAATCATGGCACAAGGAAAAAGGCAGATCAGACTGCAATGAAGTTTGCCATGGCACACGACAAGGTAGATGATTTATAGGTTTTTGATACTTTGACATAATTGATATGTCATCAAACTCTTATGACATCTACCTTCAGCAAAGAAAATTATTACTAACGTTACCGCAGCTTAAAAATGACATGTTCTCTGATACTGACAATCCCTTCTGGCTAGCGTAATCATACTCTAGTCCAAACTAAGACACTTTTGAGAATGTGGAGCAGTAGATATTAATAATTAGCTAGGACAATAGACATAAACCAGGCATGCCCCGGGATGACCTGGACACATAGGTCATCTCACCTCCTACCTCTAATGGCTTGTAATTCTGCTTCAAATAAAAAACCCCTCCCCACATTTTTAAACTGATGCCTCAGTCAGTAATCCTGTAACCTCAGGTGTACGTCTGACCCACAGTGGCCTGATCATGTAGACTGTCTCTTGTTAACCAGAGTTTCCAAAAGTCTGGGCACTCTAGAAGCACCAAGTACCCTGCAGAAACCCAGTTTGCATTCCAGTGTTTCATACTTCTCCTGAGTTAGCCTCTTCCTCTTGGGTCTCTCCTGGTTTCACCTGGGCTGTGGCAAGTAATGGAGCTAAGGACAAGGAAAATACGGAGTTAGAGTCTTAACAAAGCCAGGTTGTGTATGAAAATATGGGAAATAATAAAAACAAATTCTCATCACCACTCCCACCTCCACCTTTTTAATTTTTAAAATTTATTTAAAAAATTTTTTTTAATGTTTATTATTTTTGAGAGAGAGAG